CAAATTGATCTTTCAGCTTGTGTTTTGTAAGTGAATTCCGATGGGGTACTGAGCAGGGGGCTTGTATCCTCAGTAAAGTCCTGTCTCCCTCTGCCTCTCTGCCTCCTTGGGATGGTTCTAGGCCTCCAGCTCCCCAACTCTCTGGTGCCCTGGCCCTGCCCAGCTTCCCTCTCCCCACCTTCGCATCTTTTCAGACATGCAAGGTCTTAAGAAATTTAGCCACATGCACCCTTTTTGAAAAAGAAACTGAAGGATATACTTCACCAAAACAAGAGAGTAAAACAAGAGAGAGAAAGTTATGTTCTAGAAGCAAAGGCCCAACATGAGAGTGAGGGAATGGGGGTTCAATAAAGTTGCAGCTCTCCCAAGGCCTAGAGAACAACCAGTCCAAACTGGAACAGGAGAACAGAGGGCTGTGGGAGGGATGTATCAAGAGAAAGAAACGGAACTGCTCGATTCCCAGAAGTGCTTGCTTGACATTCCTGAGAGGAGTTTTACAGACCTATGGAAGATGTGGAAGAGTTTGAGGAAAAACTGAGGATGAGTTTGCCAAAAACTCCCTTGCAACTGAGAAAATAAGACAATCATTAACTCCAAGAAAAACAAGATGCCACGAAAGAAAGGAAAGGTATTCATAGGTTACCTCTTGGCTAGCTGTGATATAATTAAATGGCCCTAAGAAGGCAAATGTCGAATGTTGATCTAACTAAAAATTATGGTATAACTATACCGGGAGGATAATGAAGGAGAAAAGTTTGAGGGGAAAGGGAGAAAAAGAGCAAGAGAACTAAAAGGTATGTTTACCTTCCGTAATGGGAACTTAGTAGGGAACGCCTAAAATTGAAAGTTTAAGAAGTGGCAGTATATGCATGTTATTTAGAAATATGGAGACAAATACCGGTAGACGTAGCCGACTGAACAGTGTCTCTGGGGAGTGGCAATCAGGCCTGGGGGGCTGGGGGGGGGCACAAAACTGCTGCTTTTTATTGTAATCTCATGGGACTCTGCCTTTTTAAACTATATATTTGTAATACTTTTTTAAAATAAAAATTAAATTTTTTAAACGTAACAGACAACGGAAATTCAGGATGCACCTCAGTTCACATAGGTGAGGCGAGTTCTAGTCATTCAAGGTAGGTCTCCAATGCCCGGACTGGTCTCTGCCTAGTTTGAACGCCAACACTTCTGTGTTGCTTTAAGCTGATTGGTTTTGCTTCACCTCTGTGAAACCACCAAAGAATTATGTGATCCAAAGATGATTAATCTCTAATTTTGGGATGTTTTTAATCAGTAAAATGTGTTTTGTATACTTTTCATAACATTTCTGATCTACTTCTCAGTCTTTTCATATCTCTTATCACCTTTTCCATCTCTTTCAACTCAAAATATTTTCTTTAAAATTGAAGACGACACAAAGAAATGGAAAGATATTCCGTGCTCTTGGATTGGAAGAATTAACATAGTTAAGATGTCCATACTTCCTAAAGCAATCTATAGATTCAATGCAATCCCTATCCAAGTTCCAACAACGTTTTTCACAGAAACAGAACAAAGAATCCTAAAATTTATATGGAACGACAAAGACCCCAAATAGCCAAAGGACTCCTGAAAAAAAAGAACAAAGCTAGAGGTATCATACTCCCTGACTTCAAAATATACTACAAAGCTATGGTAACCAAAACAGCATGGTACTGGCACAAAAACTGGCACACAGATCAATGGAACAGAATCTAGAGCCCAGAAATAAACCCACACGTATACGGACAGCTAATTTTTGACAAGGGAGCCAAGAACATACAATGGAGAAAGGAAAATCTCTTCAACAAATGGTGTTGGGAAAACTCGACAGCCACATGCAAAAGAGTGAAAGTAGACCGTTATCTTACACCATACAAAAATTAACTCAAAATAGATTAAAGACTTGAATGTAAGGCCTGAAACCATGAAACTTCTGGAAGAAAACATAGGCAGTATGCTCTTCGACATCGGTCTTAGCAACATATTTTTTTTTTTTTTTTTTGTGAGGAGATCAGCCCTGTGCTAACATCTGCCAATCCTCCTCCTTTTTTTTTTGCTGAGGAAGACTGGCCCTGGGCTAACATTCGTGCCCATCTTCCTCCACTTTATATGGGATGCTGCCACAGCATGGCTTGCCAAGCAGTGCGTCAGTGCGCGCCCAGGATCCGAACCGGCGAACCCCTGGCTGCCGCAGTGGAGCGCGCGCACTTAACTGCTTGTGCCACCTAGCTGGCCCCTTAGCAACGTATTTTCAAGTACCATGTCTGACCGGCCAAGGGAAGCAACAGAAAAAATAAACAAATGGGACTACATCAAACTAAAAAGCTTCTGCACAGCAAAGGAAACCATCAACAAAACAAAAAGACAACCTAACAATTGGGAGAAGATATTTGCAAACCATATATCTGATAAGGGGTTAATCTCTAAAATATATGAAGAACTTATACATCTCAACAACAAAAAAACTAACAACCCAATTAAAAAATGGGCAAAAGACCTGAAGAGACAATTCTCCAAAGTAGATATACAGATGGCCAACAGGCACACGAAAAGATGCTCAACATCACTAGTTATTAGGGAAATGCTAATCAAAACTACAATGAGATATCACCTCACTCCCATCAGAATGGCTATAATTAACAAGACAGAAAACTATAATTGTTGGAGAAGATGTGGAGAGAAGGGAACTCTCATACACTGCTGGTGGGTGTGCAAACTGGTGCAGTCACTATGGAAAACAGTATGGAGATTCTTCAAAAAATTAATAGAACTCCTATACGATCCAGCTATTCCACTGCTGGGTGTTTATCCAAAGAATGTGAAAACACGCATGCATAAAGATACATGCACCCCTGTGTTCATTGCAGCGTTATTCACAATAGCCAAGACTTGGAACCAACATAAGTGCCCATCAAGGGACAAACGGAAAAAGAAGATGTGGTATATATACACAATGGAATACTACTCAGCCATAAGAAATGATGAAATCTGGCCATTTGTGACAACATGGATCAACGTTGAGGGTATTATGTTAAGTGAAATAAGTCAGAGGGAGAAGGTCAAATACCATATGATCTCACTCATAAGTAGAAGATAAAAACAACAAAAAACAAACACATAGAGACAGAGATTGGATTGGTGGTTACCAGAGGGAAAGGGGGTAGAGAGGAAGGCGAAAGGGATGATTAGGCACATGTGCGTGGTGATGGGTTGTAATTAGTATTTGGGTGGTGAACATGACGTAATCTATGCAGAAATAGAAGTATAATGATGTACACCTGAAATGTGTACAATGTTATAAACCAATGTTATCGCAACAACAACAAAAATATTTTATTTAAATTTTGGGAGTGCTTTTCCAATTTGACCTCTGCTCTGAAGGCAGAATTTCCCTCTCAGCTTTTGACATTTTGTCCGTTTCTCAGAAATGGCCTAGGACTTTTTAGCACTGAGAGTAAAAGTGAGAGAAAGTGCAGGATTTTTCCTTAACACAGAATAAAGAAAACTAGGATTATAGAGAGCAATAATTGATAGCAATTGAAATCTAGCACAAGAGAATTTCTACATTGTACCTAAGGAGTTATATTTTTTAAATGCTAATTCTGAATTATCATTTTGTGTTTATTTAGTAACAGTTCAGTTATTTTAACACAGGATTTTGATGGGGAATTCAAGTGACTAGACCAGTGGCTTTCAATCACTTGAGAAGCTTTTAAAAAATACTGATGCCTGGGTGGCTCCCATCACCAAAGATTCTGATTTAATCACTCTGGGTGCAACATGGCCATGGGAATTTTTTTTAACTCCCCTTGTTATTCTGACATGCAGCAAAATTTGGGTACCACTACTCTGGATCATGTCCCAGGTGTTCTCTCTCAGTTAACACATCCGAGAAAACAATCTAATTCAGGAACTAAATTCACGTTGTGGCAAATGCCTATATGGCCTATGAATTCCCGGAGGAAATAGCTGGTGGTTCTTGCAATATTAAACCTTAAAGTGGCAGCAACTGTCAGACAGCCATCTGTCAACCTCCTTCTCAGTTTGCAATAGATTCCCAAGATGGCGTGCCAAGGGTAGTATGGCTGGCTGGTAATGCTCCCTCATTATAGCTTCCCTCGGCACAGATCATGCTCCTTTCTTGTCAAGCAGTTTATTTAAACTACAACATTGCCCATTTTAGAGCCACCCTGACTGCCCAGACAACCTGGGCAGCCTCTGCATGTTTTACTCAGAGAATTGAATGGTCCAGTCACAGTTAATTCTAAGTCCTTTTGTTCTGGTCCCTGGCACACTGGATGAACAAAGGTTTCATGGAGCTTATTTCCTATGCGGAATTGGACAAGTTTTGTGAGCATAAGTGAAAGGGCTCTTCAGCAACTGGAATGGTGACTGCGCCCCTTGGACAAGCATGTGTTTGGAGGGGAGGACTCGAGTCCCGCAACTGAGACCTGAGGTTGGTGATTGCAGTTGGCGGTTGGTGCCCATTAGTGAAGCAGGCGAGGGGCTGTTGAAAGGAGAGCCTACTGAAGCAAAAGCCACCGTTCAGACCAGGCCAGAGAGAGCAATTCTGACCTACAGACAGGCAAGGGGTAGGTGCCAATGGGCTGATCCGGAGTCCACATAGAAAGAGCCAAGCTGACATGGCGCCATACTGGCCTGACTCCCAGAACAGAATCACCACTGGACCTCCTAGGAATGCAGGGAATAAGAGAAGGAGCCAGACAAGGGAGAAAGCCATGATCACCTTCCTACAGATGATCAGCACTCCAGTCTTGAGGAGTAGGGAAGGGAAAGAGGATCCAGGGAACGTCTCTGGAGCCATCATGACTCAGGGCCAGAAGCCTCCAAGAGCAGGCAGGGAACCCTTGTGAAATACCCCAGTCCTAAACCAAATCCACCAATCCCAGCCACAGCCTACAGCTCCTGAGGCTGTGCATACCCGGGTGGTATGTTCCATGCTGCTCCATACCCATTTTGAGTGTAGTCAGGCCACTGTGCAGGAGCTCAGCTCAGACCTGAGCAACAGGGAACACATCCAGAATGGCCCCCTGAGTCCGGGCCTGGCAGAGGCAGGAACAATCAGTGGGTAATGACTGCAATCAGAACTTAAATAGACACAGAAGGGCATGCCTATTCAGCCTTTTGAAGGCTGGACCAATTTCTAATTTTCCTTGTTATACTAAAGAACCAACATTTTTGAGCTAATGTATGAGATGGAACATAAGTGCAAATTCCATCTTAATTATTAATGGAAAATGCAAATTGTTATCCTCCTTCACATATGTTTAAAATAATCCTGATCTATATATATTGGAAAGTCAAACCCAGTCCTCCCAGTCCCTTTAGTTCTGTAAACTCTTTGAGCAAGGCTCCAGAAAAATACTGGCCTTTCTTCCCTAGGTTCTAAGTGTTGAGAAATCTCTACAAATCTGCAACAGATATTAAACAGAATCACAGAACTATGAGCTGTTAGACCTTAGTTCATCAAACATTTATTGAGCATCTACTTTCTACTAGGAACTGAGGATACAGAAATAAATCAGACCCAGTGTCTGCCTCCAGAGGCTCTCTGAGAGAGAAAGATGCATAAACAGATCATTTTAATACAATATAATGTATGCAAACCACAGAAGCATGCATGAGTGATGGGGAGATTCACCCTGCATGAGGAAGTGAGGAGAGAATCAGCAAAATCTCCTGGAAAAAGTAGCCCTTGAGTCTAATAATGAAGAAAGAGAAAAATAAAAGTTGAAATGTTAGCTGTGCTATTTTATAAAATGAGAATAAGGTCATTCTTTTTAGAGCATAATAGAAAAATAATAAATATAGTTGGGGAAGAAAACTTCTCCCACCCCAGCTCAACAATTATTTGAGCAGAGAAACAAGATGGCAAGAGGTAAAGAGGAAAGGCAGCAATATCAGAAACCATGCAAAAATGACCAGCTCATCACCGGTGATGGCAGGAAGGGTGAGATCAGCATGGAGGAGAGATTTTTATCAGCCAAATGGGGCTAGCTCCCGTTAAGGAACCACAGTAAAACAGCGGCTGTCAAGGCTTGGAGTGATGATGTATAACAGCGTTGAGAGCAGGATGTAGGCAGCAGAGGAGCTCATGTGAGTCTCCAAAACCCCACAACGGATGGGAGATGCTTGGGGAAGAGGCCTGGAGATCTACTCATTTCACTGTGTGTATGTTGTGGGGCAGGGGAGGAAGGAATGTGCTGGGAGCAAGCGTTATTAAGAATGTGGTAGCTATGAATCTAAGGCCACAGCTCAAGTAACCACTTTTCCATAATTCAATTTCTTTTTAAGCCCCATTACATTGAAGTTCCCTTCTTCTTTTGCCCAGTTACAGAGGACCAAGGCATTGGAGTGGAGGTGGTGATCTCGTCTTCTGTTATTATCCGTTATTATCTACCCACCCTGATATAAGCTCAGATGTTCTTTTGTCACCTGTCATTCTCAACTATACGCCCTATTCAGGTTCAGCTTGTCCAGCCACTTCCACACCACTCTCCAGCACCTATGAATTAATTCTGCTCCTCTCACGTCATTCTGGGCCTCCACAACCACGGAGCTGTGTAAGACCCTGTGATATCCATGACAGACTGGCCAAGGGAAACTTATGACCAAGATACATGACCCAGCCATGTCTTCTCTGTGGTCTCGCCATTTCCCTGGGGCTCCAGAATGAAATGAATACATGGCTACAGTGAAATAAATTGTATTAGATTCACTACTGGTCTTCAGTAATTATAGCTAGCAAGGGGTATCAATGAGCATTCCCTCCGATATATGTGTAATAGTCATCTATTGCTGTATAACAAATTGCCCCAAAACTTAGTGACTTAAAACAATAAACATTTATTATCACACAGCTTCTGCAAGTCAGGAGTTTAGGAGTGGCTTAGCTTGGTGTTGTGGCTCAGATTTTCTCATGAGGTTGCAGTCAAGACGTCAGCTGGGGCTGCCATCATCTGAAGGTTTGACAGGGGCTGGACAATTCATTTTCAAGATGGCTCACTCACATATCTGGTGAGCTAGAGCTGCTTGTTGGCAGAATGCCTCAGTTCCTCACCACATGGACCTCTTCATATGTCTGCTTAAGTGTCCTCACAGCATGGCGGCTGGCTTCCCCCAGAGTGATCGATCCAATGGAGAAAACAAAGAGGAAGCCACAGCGCCTTTATATCTCAATCTCAGACGTCACTCACTGCCACTTCTGCTGCTTTCTTTATTCACTAGAAACAAATCACTAAGCCAAGCCAACACTCAAGGGTAGGGGAACTAGATTCCACCTTGTGAAAGAAGGAGTATGAAAAAAATTGTGGTCATATTTCAAAATCACCACAATAAGTAATAGAAAAAAAAAAAACACCTCACATTAACTTGAAAAATGAAGATGTATTGACTCATTAACTAGAATCCAGAGATAGCACAGATTTCAGGATGTTGATTGATCCAGTGGCTCCTTGAAGTCATCAAGGACCCAGTATCTTTCTGACTCTTTGCTCTACTATCCATAGTATCATTCTAAAGCTGGCTCTCCTCATGGTCACAGGATGGCTGCCAACAGCATTGAGGGATTTGAGCTTCCTTGTTCACATCTAGCCAGAAAAAGAAGGCTGAACTCCTTCAATTATAAAATAAAAGTCCCCTGTGGTCAGGGGAGACTCATGTGCTGATTGGCTTAGATCTGGTCTACCTGAGCCAATCACTGCAGCAAGGGGGTGGGACTACCCGACTGGTTTAGACCCGGATCTTGGGATTGGTCATTCCCTCCCAAATCACAAAGTCAACACAGCAGTGAGGGAGGTTGTGAATGTTGGGGAACACAGTGTTCACCACAGAAGGGCTAGGTGAGGGGTGGGCTGGCAAGCAAAGTGCTGGCTCCAGGAGAGCTCATGTTAATAGCCAGGGCTCAACCACCTGAAGTTGCAGAGAAACTGGAAGTCCCCATTCTCACTCAGCCTCCCCGCCTGCCCCACTCAAGACTCAAACAGCCTCCCAAGTGGAGACACAGCTGGGTCAACAAGCCTCTCCTTTGGAAGGCAGAGTCCATAAGTGTGACCACATCAGTCAGCTTGCGTTCCATGACTTTAATCCCAAGATTCCAAGAGCTCAGGCTCAAGGGCTTAGAGCATAGATTGGAAGGGAAATGGGATACAGGAAAGGAAAAGGAGAAAGGAGGAGAGACACACAGGCCACTCTCACTAACCCTCTTCCCCCTCAAACACACAGCCTTCCTCTCTAATTGCATCAAGGCCATGATGGGATATCCCAACTCACAAGGGCCCTAAGCCTCAGTGTCAGGCACACACAGAGCTGGGCTCACTATGTTGGGCCCTATATTGGTTTCCTAGGGCTGCCGTAACAAAGGATCACACACTGGGTGGCTTAAAACAACACAACTTTATTCTCTCACAGTTCTGGGGGCTAGAAGTCCAAAATCAAGATGCTGGTAGGGATACGCCTCCTCTGAGACTCTAGGTAGAATCAATCCTTCCTTGTCTCTTCCCAGCTTCTGGTGCTGGCCAGCAATCCTGGGTATTACTTGGCTGCAACTGCATCTCTCTAGTCTCTGCCTCTGTCATCATAGGACAGATTTCAGGATGTTGATTGATCCAGCAGCTCCCTGAAGTCATCAAGGACCCAGTATCTTGCTGACTCTTCTCTCTATTATCCAAAGTATCATTCTAAAGCTGGCTCTCCTCATGGTCACAGGATGGCTGCCAATAGCATTGAGGGATATGTGCTTCTATGTTCATATCTAGCCAGAAGAAGAAGGCTGAATTCCTTCAGCCTCCCTGTGTGTCTTCACATGGTGTTTCCCTCTTCTTATAAAAACACCAGTCAGATTGGACTAGGGCCTACCCTAATGATCTCATCTTAACTTGATTACATCTGCAAAGACCTATTTCCACATAAGGTCATATTCACAAGTACCAGGCAACTATGGACTTCAACACATCTTTTCGGGGAACACAACTCAACCACAGCAGGCGCCTTTCCCTAGTTCCTCCTCCGCTGCTTGTGGCGATAAGTGATGAGCAACTTCAGTTCTTTCCTTTAAAGGATAAGCACGCATTTCCCAGTCTAGTCACCCTCAATGGATCTGGAAGGCAAAGCGAGGGGATATCTGTCTGCTGGTCCATCAAGGACATAATACACCGGCTCACCCACAGCTGCAGGCGATTTCTCAGTCAAGTCAGCCTGACTGTGTACCAAATGCTCGCCCTGGTGACGGCTTCCTGAACCAGGGAGTTGCCCAAAGCTGCAGTCAGGCCCTGGTAATATAAACCCAGCCATATCTCCCCTCAGGGCCTTGGTTCCCTCACCTGTAAAGTCTAAGGAGACTTCTAGGATCTGACGGTGACCATAAAGTGCACACATCTGCTCAAAATCAGCTCCATATCCGAATTCCCAACTAATATATGGCCAGTTAGTGGGTGTCCCTTGAGACCTTCAGGAAGGCTCATTAGAGCCATTCCAGCACCCCCTGGGGACAGTGTGTATTTTAATATGCAGATTCCAAACTGAGATAATAAAGAAGCTACTGCTCTTCTCATCCCAGGATCCAGAGCCTTGTATTCATACAGAATATCTGCACACACACGTGGACGCTCCTTTATAAACATCTGAGAAATCGTGGAGGGTGAGAGCAAAATGCAGGGCGAAATGTCTGAATTAAAGAAGAGCTGTGCTAGTTCACTCTGCAGAATCACTCGGCAGCCAGTGTTCTCTTGGCTTCAGTTTGGCAGCTGCATAAAAGCTAAACAGCTTCCCCTACAGAAGGAAGGAAAGAAATCTGTGACCCAACAGGACAGAGACTGAAACAACACAAGCTACCGAGGCCTACAAGGGTCAGCAGGGCCATACGAGGACCATATCCAAAGGCCACAGGCTCCTTTTGGAGCAGCCATACCAAATCCAGCAGTCAGCAATGAGCCCATTCAGTAAGGCCCTGCTGAGGGCTGGGGATCCAGAGAATAGGACCAGACTCTCTAAGGAAGGAGCCTGGAGAGGACCAGGCAGAGAATCGGGACCCAATCATGCCGACGGATTCACACCGGGCAGGGCTCCCAGTGCAGCCCGGAAGTCCACACCCCGCAAAGAATCTGATGTGGTGAACGCTGATTGAATAGGGCAGGGAGGAGGAGGAATTCAGTGATAAAGGATAAGCCATGTGGCAGGGGAAGGACGTGGTGGGCTCTCCCAGGCATGTGAAATATCAGGCCTCCAAGTGTCAATTCCAGCCCCGCCCACTGGGGTCCAAGGTCCCCAGAGGTCTCCTTGCCCCTGGGTCGGGTGGGCTGAGTCTAGGCAGGACTGGAGGGCAAAGACAGACGCTGCACTGTGCTCGTGTCCACCTGTTCCTCCGGGCCCTCCCAGGGAGGGCACTCCTGCTCCAGCCCCTCCAGCCAGTGTGCACCCCACCCCATCTGCTGTAAAAGGCAGTGTGGCCAGAGAAGAAGATCTGGAGTAGGTGGCCGGACTTGAATCCTGACCCTGCCGTTCATCGGCTTTGTAACGCTGGGCAAATTATGTAACCAAACTGAGTCGCTATACCCTCATCTGTAACATGGGAAAATAATCAGTACTTGTTGCCCAGGGTGTTGTGAGGAAGAAGTGAGGTAACCCACGTAAGTAGTGTAAGTGGTTAGCACAGTGTCTGACACACAATGCACACTAAATAGATATAGATATTCCCTTACTCTTACGTAAAAATGAGTAGGGCTTCAGGGCCAGTCTTCCTCAGCAAAAAAAAAAGGAGGACTGGCAGATGTTAGCACGGGGCTGATCTCCTCACCAAAAAAAAAAAAAAGAAGAAAAAAAATTATTAAAAAAGAAAATGAGTAGGGCTTGCAGGTGAAGTGAATATTGTCTGCAGGACAGAATCCAGAGTCGGTCCTAAAATCCCTCGATTTGACAGTTAAAATTCCATGCCGCCTCTGGCACTTGGAGCCCCCAAAGGTACTGCTCCATGTCTAGAAATGAGAAAATCAGAAAACAAGAGGCCTCCTTCTCCAGGTCAAAGGAGGCTGCTCATCCCAGTAACAGCGGTTCTGGACAAAGGTGCCCTCTCGCTGCCTCACTCACTTGTCCCCCACTCAGACTAATTAACAGTTCTGGCTGCTGCCCCAGGAGACTGCTTACTGTTCCCCCCTCCCCGGGAGATGGGGGGGCACGTCTTGGGGGGATTCTGCTTGCACCCCCTCCACTCCCCGCCCCTCCCTTTGAGAACAGAAGAGCCCGAAGGACGTGCATCCCCCCTGCAGAGCCCAGACGGCTCCAGAAACATGCTGCTCAGAGGCGCAGTCTGGCCTCCCTTGCGGCCTGACGGAAGCAGTGTCTGTTGTTACAAAGCAAACTCTCATGACTGTCCTGTTAACCCCAGAGCCCCTTAACCAGCTCCCACTGGACAACGTGTCTGGGCTAATACTGGGGCCAGAGAGCAGAGCAGCAGGGAGAGGTAACAGCCGCTAGCCTCTTAGATGAAGACACCTAATCAAAACCTCTCGCCTTTGCCATCGGCCCATCCCAGCCGTCCGCACAGCTGGCATCGTTCCCCAAGTTCCCCATACGTTGGCCTAGATCAGTGGTTTCCACTATATCAGAACCACCCAGGGAGCTTTGGTAAAACAAGATGCTTGGGCTCCACCCCGGACTAACTGAACCAGAACCTCTGGGGAGTGGAGCTCAGGGAACCTGCGTTTTTTAAAAGCTCATGAGGTGATTCTGAGAGTTATGAACCACTGTTCTAGACATTTGTCCATAGGTTTGCTGGGCCTTTCTGAAGGAAAGGAGCTGCTACGTAGAAAACTTCTCCACCCAAACCCCTATGTTCTCATGTGCGCACATACACACACACACACACACACACACACAAGTATAGGGAGCACACGGTGGTACAACTGAGTCATGAGCACGGGCATCTCTCCCCAGCTGGCCCACCCAGGCAAGCTAGGGTCCTGAGAGCAACAACTACCAGCTGCACAGGTCGCTGCTGTTCATCAAGCCCCCCTCAGAGAGACGAGTGCCTTTGATCTCCTCGGCTACCTGTGAAGCAGTGATTACTATTCCCATTTTGCAGGAGAGGAACTCAAGGCCTGTGGTCGGCAGAATGATGACTCCTCCAAGGATGTCCACATCCTAATCCCCAGAGTCTGGTGGTTTTGGAAATTCATATAAACCTTTGGAAAAACATTTACTGTAAAAAGCCTGTGATACAGTAATTCCACATCTGGGAATCTATCCCAAAGAAAAACTTATAAACATAAAGACAAAAATACTTATGAGCAAAAATATTTGTCACGAAGTTATTTATATTACACAATTAAAAACAACCTAGTTTTCTGAAAATAAGGAAAGGCTTAAGTAAATTACGGTATATCCACTCAGACAGAATAAAAACGATTGCTCAGACTATGCACCAAGATAGAAAATAGATTATTATATATCTAGTGAAAAACCATGATTTAAAATTATATAGACAGTATGATTATAACTATGTAAAGACTATTTATTTTAAAAAAAGAGGGAGGCTGGCCCCGTGGCCCAGTGGTTGAGTTTGGCCTGCTCCACTTTGGCAGCCCAGGATCGCAGGTTCAGATCCCAGGCACAGACCTACACTAGCCATGCTGTGGTGGCAACCCACAGACAAAATAGAGGAAGACTGGCACAGATGTTAGCTCAGGGCTAACCCTCCTCAGCAAAAAAAAAAAAAAAAAAAAGGAAGGAAGCGCTCATTATGTTTATCTTTTAGTAGTCGAACCATGAGTTCTATTTTTCTTCTTTCTACTTGTCTGAACTGTATTTTATTAATGCTTTATAAGTAAGTATTACTATGTGAACAGTATAAATGACTGTTATGGTAGAGCCCCCAAAAGATGTGCACATCCTCATCCCCAGAAGCTATGAATATGTTACCTTACATGATAAAAGGGACTTTGCAGATGTGACTGAGTTAAGGATCTAGATGAGGGGAGTAGCCTGGGTTTTCCAGGTGGGCCCAATGTAATCACAAGGGTCCTTATAATAGGGAGGGTCAGCGTCAGAAGGGAGATGAGACGACGGAAGCAGAGGTCAGAGTGATGCGCCCAGGAGCCAAGGAGTTCGAGCATTCTCTAAAATTAGAAAAGGCAAGGAGAGGTTTCTCCCCTAGAGCCTCCAGAAAGAACACAGCCTTTGATTTTGGCCCCATAAGACCCCAGTTCAGACTCCTGATCTCCAGAACTGTAAGATAATGAGCTTGTGTTGTTTTACGCCACGGGGTGTGTGGTGTTTTGTTTCAGCAGTAACAGAAAAGTACTAGAAAGACCCAAAGAGGCCAAACCCCAAGTCGTGCAGCTCTTACCTGGAGGGGCTGAGACCCCAGCTCACTCTCCTCCCAGTCTAGCACTCCGGGGGTACCCAGGGGCCAAGTGTTCCCACAGGGGGAGAAGAGACAGCCCTGCTGTGTGTGCCCCTCCGGGGCTGTGGACTGGTGGCACCTCTGTCAGTCCCTGCTGCCGAAACGCCTCCTGTTCGTCCACAGCCCGGCTGGTGTACGGGGAAGAGGGCAGGGATCGACTTGAACAGAACAGCATGTTTCTCTGGGAACCTCTGCTCCCCAGCCCCCAGTGTCTCTAGAATAGCAAGTCACTATCCATAGCAACAAGGTCTGAAATCCTAAAAAAGCTGAAAAGCTGACAATAAGTATCTAAAAACAGTGTGAGTTCCACCATTTCTAAAACTGCCTACAATTGCTGAAGGGGCTAAATTTTTTTTTTAAAGAGAAACGTGAGTCACGGAAGTGTAGCATTTTAGGGCTGCAGAATTGAGTGCCTACTGCTTGGCTTTATATATTTGGATGGCCTATCATCTTTCAGAAGGATTTCATACATACCGCAAACGCCCCTCTGAGCAGGGCTGTGCGGTGGAGGCTGTGTATTTGGGGGGAAGAGCCCTCGCCTGGGAGATGGGAACTCAGGACTCTGGTTCTCAGCTCTGCTGCTAACTTGAGTGTGATGGAGTCCACTTAGTTCCCTCCGTGCTAGAGTGGGAGGCAGCACAGAGGAGAGGCTGAGTCGGAGATCTTAGCTGCAAGCCACAGAAAGGACTCTGGCTAATTTAAGCAGAAGGGGATTTACTGTAAGGCTATTGAAGGATCAGAATCAAGGTTAGGTTGGAACACCTGGCTCTGACTACACCTAGTAGAAACCAAGGGAGCCCGGCCACCAGACATCCAGGCAGCACACTGATACTGACGACTCAATCAGAGGAGGCTGCTGTAGCCCCTAACCACCTCCCCAATCCAACTTAGCCTTGCAACATTTGCTCCAGACTCTGACAACATCAGCCCCATTGGCTGAGCTAAGGTTACAGCCCACCAAGTGGAAGAACTTGGGCTTTCTGGATTTGAGCTTTTAGCTTTTAAGATGGAGGGTACAATTCATACTATGTGAGGAAAGGAATTCCTTTACCTTGGTGGTTCTCAAAGTGTGGTCTCAGGACAAGCAGCATCAGCATCATCTGAGAACTTTTTAGAAAAGCACATTTCAGCCTCCTCCCACCTACTGAATCAGAAACTCTCTTAACAAGGCCCCAGGTAACAGTGATACACACTAGCCTGAGAACCACTGCCCTAAAGGAAATCCAAATGCTACTAAAAAGGTTGAATGTCTGCCATCAAACCAAAAAATTAACAGTTGCCCAGTATGTAGGTTAAAAGCCAGACTGGCAAGAAAATTAAAGTATTGGGGGAAAGTGCCTCTTTAGACAACCTTTTTTCTTATTGATGTGTGACATAGTGTGAGTTTTTCTGCCCCCTCGGGCCATATCGCCCTTTCAGCCCCAGCACCTAGAAGCTGACTCTACAGCTTAGCGACTCTCAGCTCAGACTAGTCCTGCCGCTAAGCCAGGAGGAGACTCTGGAAGTCAGTAGTCTCAGAGGTTTAGACTGAGCTGGAGGGACACCATGTGGCCATATTCGGTATTACTCATCACGCCAGGGGCTTCTGTTAATTTATGTGGTGGTGTTTTTGTAAAGACTATGAAAACAATGACGTTAAGGATACTTTTGAGAATAAAAAAAGAACTGAAGTTCACCCACGATTATGCTAACAAGATTATTTTTATTTGTTCCTACTCTTAAATATTTTCTGACAATTACAACCACAGCACCCACTCTATTAAGCATCCCTTTCTTTTCCATGGAAATCTAATCATCAGCATTTCCCATGCTCATTCGAGGTTTTTGCAATCATTCTCTTCAATGATAGTCAAGAGCAGACCCTCAGTAAACGTTAGTGCAATGAAATGGACTGAAAAGGCATTAAATTGTCTGAGAAGCATGTGGTTAAGAGCTCCATTTCTGGAGTGACACAGGCAGGGGTTCAAAACACAGGTCTGCTACTTGCCGGCTGTGTGATCTTGGGCATGTATCTTAAGCCTTCTGTACGTGTTTCCTCATCTGTCAAACCGGGGGATGGAAGAATATTACCCACTATACAGGGTTGTTATGAGAACTAAATAACAATGTGTGAGAAGACACAACACAGGGCCTGGCCAGAGCCCTAACATTAGCATCATTATTATCATTTTAAAAGCACCCCCATTGCAACTGATGCCAGCTGAAGACCTCCCTTGGACAGGACCCCTGAAACTGCAAACCCATGAGTTGACTCATAGCTGGAAAAACATAAAATAAGGCAGCCGAGACTTCAGAGACTAGGGTCTTGGAACAGGTAAACGGGATTCCAGCCCAGGTCCCCCTGTCCCCACTCCTGAGCGTCACTACCAACATATACGTCCCTGGTCCCAGCTCCTCCCAGTTGCTGCTGGCCTGAGGTTCCTCAACTGCAAAGAAAAAAAGAGATTACCTACCAACACCTTCATCTAAACCACAACGCACTCAGAAATGCGGGAACAAGCTTGGGATTCTCTCCAGGGCAAGGAGAGAATTTTCTCTCCCACAAGG